TACTGCAGCCCATGCGGAGTTGTTTCACATCATGTACTTACAAGATACAACATGATTAAAGTTTCTTTTATTACAAATTAGGGCCATGTGCCAAAGTGCATCACTCCAAAGCTGGAGCAAAGAACAGTAACTCCCCAGAACAAACAAAAATGACACACGACATTACAAAACTAACAGGAAGAAGAGGTTACTCATATTGTCCAGTAACTCTGGTTCTTCGAGATGTGTCCCCCAGTAAGTGCTCCACTAGAGGTGTGCATGCGGCTCTCGAGCCCTTGATCGGAGATTTTCAGTTAGCAGTGTCCATTCGGCCCATGCATGCACCCTATGCCTCCTTGTGCTGGATACTGAGGCTATACAGGGGTGTGCGAGCGAACTGCCCTTGATTCCTTCTCCACCCAGACATCCCCTAAAGAACAGTCCAAAGCAGAGGGAAAGGGGAGGGGGTGGAGGGTGGGTAGTGGAGCACCCATATAGAGAGACACACATCTCAAAGAACCACAGTTACTGCACAAAGTGAGTGACCTCTTCTTTGAGGAGTGTCCTTATGGGTGCTCCACTCCAGGTGACTTCCATCTGGCGAGACGGCTTGGAGGAGGAGTTTCAGAACAGAGTGCAGAACTGAAGATAGTACTGCAAAACCGAGTCCCGCGCTCGTTCTAGAACATAAGAACAGCCATACTGGGTCAGACTCATGGTCCATCTAGCCCAGTATCCTGTCTTCTGACAGTGGCCAATGCCAGGTGCTTCAGAGGGAATGAACAGAACAGGGCAATTATCCAGTGATCCAGCCCCCGTCATCCACTCCCAGCCTCTGGCAATCAGAGGCTAGGGATGCCCCAGAGCCTGGGGTTGCATCCCTGACCATCTTGGCTAATAACCATTGATGGACCTTTCCTCCAAGAACTTATCTAGTTCTTTTTTGAACCCCATTATAATTTAGGCCTTCACAACATCCCCTGACAACAAGTTCCACAGGTTGATGGGGTTGAATGAAGAAATACTTCCTTTTGTTTGTTTTAAACCTGCTCCCTATTAATTTCTTTGGGTGACCAGTGGTTCTTGCATATGTGAAGGGACAAAGAACACTTCCTTGTTCACTTTCTCCACACCAGTCATGATTTTATAGACCTCTATCATACCCCCTCTTAGTCTCCCCTTTTCTAAGCTGAAAAGTCCCAGTCTTTTTAATCTCTCCTCATATGGAAGCTGTTCCATCCCCCTCATCATTTTGGTTGCCCTTCTCTGCACCTTTTCCAATTCCAATATATCATTTTTGAGATGGGGCGACCAGAACTGCACGCAGTATTCAAGGTGTGGGTGAACCACGTGTTTGCTTTTTTGACTGCTGCTGCACATTGAGCAGATGTTTTCGGAGAACTATCCACAATGACTCCAAGATCTCTTTTTTTGAGCGGTAACAGCGAAATTAGACCCCATCATTTTGTAGAAGGAGTTGGGATTATGTTTTCCAGTGTTCATTACTAGGCAGATGAAATTAAATGTCGATAAATGCAAGGTTATTGCCCGGTCACCCAGTTTTGTGAGATCCCTTTGTAACTCGTTGCAGGCTGCTTTGGACTTAACTATCTTGAGTAATTTTGTATTGTCGGCAAAATTTGCCACCTCACTGCTTGCCACTTTTCCCAGATCATTTATGAATATGTTGAATAGCACTGGTCCTAGTACAGATTCCTGGGGGTGGTATGCAAGGTTGGTTCCACCACCCTTGATAATGAGCTTAATGTTCCCTATGCCTTTCAGAAAATGGGAATATGTTAGAATTCTGAACAGAAATAGAGGAAGCCGACTGGAAGACTCCTTCATCTTCCTCCATCTCATCCAGAGGAGGAGCACCTGCACAAAATGGAGGGGAGTCTTGCGGTGCTAGAGGATGGCAGCCCAGAGATCAGGGTCTCTGTACCCAGAGATGCTTGGTACCCATGAAGCGTGGAGACTCCAGTTCTTCTGTTATCAAGAGGTCCTTATTATATCTGAGCTCCTGTGCTATCGAATAGGGGATCACTATCAACGCAGTAGCCATGACCATGGTTGCTGAAGCCAACAGTACTGCTGATGGTATCTGGCGCTGCCCCTTGCTTGGTGCCGAGGGTGCTGCATGCATGGGTCCCAAAGGCTGGGCTGAATTCAATAGTGCCAGTCCCAAGTGTCTATTCTTGCTCTCCTTGCTGTAGAAGGTACCGAGGCCCTAACACAGCAGTGTCTCTCCTTCGTGTGCTGGGACTTTTCCTCGAGTACTCGCAGGGCTGCAGAGTCCTTTGACTTAGCGGTATCGAGTAAAGAAGTTGAGGGTCCAGAGACCATAGATCTCGCCAGGGACCTGGACTTTCTTGGAGCTGGCTCCTTGAGGAGAGTCTCCACACTCCTCTTTCTGGAGCCTTCCCTGAAGCCTCCAAAGTCTTCCCTTTCTTAGGGGAAGCCTGTGCTGAGGGAGAAGCAGTGTCAGATCTGTCCAGAGACAGATGTACATTGGTGTGGGGAGTGGGGTGATTTCTGACCTGACTCAGAAGCTAGCTGAAGGGAGCGATCCATCAGTAACAGTCAGTTTAAATCTTTCTGGTTTTCCCTGCCCTGAATTTGAGGGCGAGGCCTAAGTTGTATTTCTGGGAGATGTGGGACTCCGCCAAGCAATGGACACCCTTAGAGCGGCCGTCGCTCACAGGGATAGCCTCTCGGCAGGAGAGGCAACATTTGAAACCTGGCAAGCCAGCTATGCCCTGCCAGGAAAAAGTAAGTCTCCCCAAAGGGTAAGAAAGGAGTAAAACAATCCTCTACCGACTATCTGTAACTATGCTAACTAACTAGATAAACTATCACTATAGATATATTAGAAGAGCAAAGGCACACTCAAGGCGGGTACACCAGACTCCCTCTCAGGGCAAGGTGACTGAGAAGGAACTGAGGGCAGTTCACACCCCCCCATAAAGCCTCAGTTTCTGGCATGAGGAAGCATACGGCGCATGCACGGGCCAAATGGACACTGCTAACTGAAAATCTCCAATCAAGGGCTTGAGAGGCACATGTGCACCTGAAGTGAAGCGAAGCACCCACAGGGACAATACTCGAAGAAGAAATAAGTTTTAAAGCGGCACTGTAAACTTGAACTTAACGAATGAGAACTTGCAGGCAGTGTTGTCGAGCAGACAGTTCCCGGCCTAGTGCCCCGATACCTGGGGTCTATTCCCATGTCTCCCACGGTCCAGCTGTGTGACCTTGGGCAAATCACTTCCTCTCTCTATGCCTGTTTCCTCTCCCGCCTCTTGTCTGTGTAGCTTGTAAGCTCTTCTTATGAGTTTGTACAGTACTTGATCTCAGTTGGGGCCTAAGTGCTACTTAATACAAATAACACCAAACGACAACTAAATTCCAATTTCTATAGAATAATGTAGCATTGATCATATCACATCAAGCCACTGGGCTACCTAGCCCACCATCCTGACTCTGACACTGGCTAGTATCAGCTGCTTCAGAAAGATACAAGAAACACAAGTGGACAATTATGGAATATCTTCACCATAGGGGAAGTTTCCTCTTAATTCCCACTGATTTAAACTTTAGCACTCAATATATTAAAGGAGATTTAAAAAAATTTCCTTCAAAAAAAAAAAATCAAGGGTTTTTCTGCTTCCTTGTCAATATTTATTTATAAGTCTTCTCAGCAAATCAAACCGACTCTGAGGTGTAATCAGTAGAAGTGATGATGCACAAAGTAAATAGGCTGAAAACCTTCCCCCCCAGAGAAATCACTGTTTTTTGCCAAGATGGATAAAAATCAATGATTTTTTTTAATAAGTTTTTATTTAAAATTCGGATTTTTTGATAAAATGCTTTTTGAGGGGAAAAAAACTATCTAAATATACTTTTAATTAAGATATCTTTGCGCTATAATGTATCTCATCATCAAATAGGAATTATTAATTCTAATTCTATAGAATGAGACAATATATTCATGTAATGTTTAAGAAAAGTTTTGTAAATGAGTTCCAATAGTTCATGGATTAGGGACCCAAACTTATGGGGTGCCAGGGGCTTCTGTATAGATTATTTAGGTTAATCTTTCTATCGACCAATGGGACTCAGTGCTCATTCTAGAAGATACCATCAGAGATGCTTAGTTTTGCAGTTCTCAGACTGTGGATTTGTGTCTCCAGAGGTAATATGCTTGTTAACAGCAAAAATGGTTTAAAATAAATAAATAGAGGTGAGAAAAAAAGACCTCAACAATATTGTCCCTCTGCAAATTTGTGTACACAGAGTCAATCCCTTACTCCTCTCTAAAAGTGCAAAGTTTAAAAAAGGTCAATGACTAGGAGATTGTTGGGGGTGGAACAGATCTGGACAAGGAGAAGAAGTTTGGAGATAAATGTGAGAAGCGAGGGACATATGCTTGTTTTGTTAAAATATGTGTGTGTGCTGTTGAAGAAAAAATTCAGAACACTTAATGTTGTTGTTTTAGTTAAATAAAACAATTTAAATGTGATGTTCTCCTCCTCCTTCGGCATGGGAAGAAAATCCTCCAAATATTAATGATTAACCTGTTGAATTGGAGATAGTTCACTTCAATTACCTTTGACAAATGAAATAACCAAACAATCATTCATTTTCTGATACAGCTGTAAAACTAATCTGAAAAGTTTTCAAAATAAATCAGTTTAAAAATGTATAGTGTGTACCTTCTGAAAATGAAATCTACATCTATCTCTGAGTTGCGAAGAATATGTATTAAGGTTACAACAAGAATGCACTTTTATGTAAAAAACCATGATTAAATCAAGTCTTCCTGACTAGTGTCAGGTAGACCACTCTGGTTTTTGCTAACTTCTTCCAACTGCAATGGTCATAGTAGGTATAAGATTTTTAGACAGAAATGTGATTTTTCAAGTTGACGGTATCCCTTCAAGTATTGCTCCCAAGATTCAGTATATGCCATTCACGTCAGTCTCCTAAGGAGCATCCGTAATAAAAGAGGGATTCCAGTGGCTTTTGGGGAGTCCATGGAAAGACTCCCATTGTCTTTATTTCAGGCCAATTATGAGATGGGTTGGAGAGCAGGGGAAGTCAATAGGGAATTCTCATTTACAGGATACTCAGATTAGGAAGGTTAAAGGTGAGGTCAGCACCATTCCGTCCAGATCCCACAATGGCTCTGTCCTGCAGCTGACCTGATCAGCTCTTAAAATGCCACATGAATATTGTGCTTTTCATCCCAAGTGCTTTGAAAACTATACACAGGAGTGAGTGCTGTGACCTCTGAGCTGAACCTCACCTGCTGCCCACTACTGCAGAATCCCACCGCACAAACAGTTTAAGAGAGGAAGTGAAGAACACAGTATCCACTTGAAACTGCTGGGAAACTTTAAAGAGGCAACTTAGAATCCAAATTGGCATTTGGCCAACACAATGGGTTCAACCTCCTAATTCACTGCAGAAAGTAAAATGGAACCTACGGTCAAGAGCGGCTAGGTTTTATGTCTCATCCAAAAGACCTCCAGCCCCACAGAGGCCTAGAGTTGGGCAAAAAAAAAATTGTTTTTAAAAAGTAATAATTACAAAATGGTTTTTGAACAAAACAAGAAATTAGAAAGAGTGGAAAATTTCTACCAACGAAAAAAAGCAAACAAACAAACAAACTACCCAAACACCAACATTCCCCTCCCTCCCCACAAAAAACAATTCTCTTTCAGGGTTTGTTTGTGGAAGGAAAAAGTCAAAACTGTTTTCACAGGAAACGTAGGGGAAAGGAAAATGTTTCTAAATTTCCCACGCTAAAGACTGTGAAGTGCTCAGATATGATGGTAATGGGGACCATATAGGTACCTAAAATAGATAGCTGGAGGTCTCCCAGTCAACTACTGACCCAACCTTTGCTTGGAGATCTGCGAGGATCACAGCACAAGCTCATATAGTGGGATTCCCCCATTAAGTTTTACATCAAACACCAGAACACAACTGAATCTGTCCCTACAGAAATGCTGAAAGAAGAGATGTGGTGGGGAATGTTTAGATCCCAAATCATTAGCAGAACATAGGTTTAGGCATAAGTTATATATAAATATCTATTACAGCAACATTATTAAAAGCAGTGTTCTCCATTATTTAACTGCTCTGAATTTCTCCACGTCCCTAACACCTAAAGCCAGAGGGCCTGAACTCGGGACTCACCAGCCTTTCCCACACACTAGGAAGTTGGCACATACGGACTTAACAGAAGTCACACATTAGCATACCCTTCGCAGAGCATGGTGGGTTCGTAGTGGATGATCACAATCCAGCTGGTGCCCCCCAGCTCCCATGGCAGGTGGTGGCATGTGGATCAGTTGGCAGGTCCCCATGCAGCCATGCCACCTAATGCACAGGGGAGGGATCACCACAGTAAGAAGCAGAGTTCCTTCTGCTGGCTGCTACACCATGGCTATCGTGGAGTCTTCAGCGCTGCTCTCCTGGTCCAGGCCCACCCGGCGGATGGACGCCCTGTATTTCTGCCTTCCCAGTTCGATGACAGTTTCAATCTCGTCTGCAATGTCCTGGCGGCCGCTCTCCTTCATGGCTGTGATCAGCTTCTCCACGCAGTTTTGGTCGTCAGAGTTTTGCTGAGCCCAGGAGAAGAGCATGTTCAGGATCTGACTATCCAGGTCCTCCCTGAGGAGAGCAAGAAGCACAGAAATAACAAACCCACCATCCCTCACGGCATTTACTTGAATCTGTGACTGGGTCCGAACTCCAGAAAGTGCCATCATGCCACAGTAAGATGACTCAGTGGGACTCACTACCCAACCCTTAGTTTTCAGCTGAAAACTAAATTATTTTGATATGAAAATACTGCCACAGTGCCTCAAGTTCCCATTCTTGTCAACAGCATCAACTCCCTGGTCAGACTACATCTCCCAGGATGCACCAGAGTCTCCATTCTTGGAGAGATGGGGTAGTGCATCATGGGAGTCCCTAACCATGATGGGAGATATTATCCTGCCGGGCAGCCCTGCCCATAGAGATAGGGCATAGGAGGCACCCAAACTACAATTCCCGTGAGACACTATGGGAGCATTTCCAAACTGACATATTTCAGTTTTCAGACAAAATATTTTAGGTTTTTAAAACAAAAACAAAACATTTTGTGACTTTTTTTTTTTAGTCAAAACCCCAATTTTCCCACCAGCCCTAATGGAGATATTCCTACCCTGGAAATGTGTTGGTCCATGGGGCCACCATATCAATCTCTGCACACATGGCTCACCTGTGGTTGTATCCTATTCGTTCGATCTGCTGATAGGGTAGCCCCAGGTTCAAGCCAATGGTTTGCCAGTCAGCTCCAATGCGCCCAGCAATGCCAAGTAGATTAGCTTGTGTCAGGTAGCCGGTCTCGGCATTCCCCAGGTTCAGAGGAGGGAAGGAGAAGCCATTCTTGGGCTCTGAATGCTCACCTGAGCGGGATTTCAGTTTCTGTTTGATGGGAGAGAGAGTGACAGAAGTACTCCTGGCTGGAATGATTTCCTTTTAAAGGGGCAGTGCCAAGTCATTTAGTTGAACTTTACCTCTTTGCACCTTGGGGAAGTAGATTTAACATGGACTCTAGGGACCCAGTTGTGTGAAGTGCTGACCACCCACTGTTTAGCGGACTCCAGTGAGAGCCATGGATGCTCAGCACCCACAATCACAGCCTGAAGCAGGAAATCCCTCCTTGCCCTGTCTTTGGAGATTCCCTTTTCATTACCAGTTGTTTCCCCGAGTACATGTCCCTCAGCCTTCAGGGAGCTCTTACTCTAGGCCCCAAACCAAGGCTGTGCATGTACCAGAAGTGGGACTGCAGTCCACAGTGCTTACTCTGGGGTAAGCCTTACGGTGATGTTCAAAGAAAGACAACAATATTTACTGGTTCGAGCCAGCTCAAGAGAAATAAAACTTGCCATGACACAGCTTGGCCAGCCAGGTCCCTTTAAGGCACCCCTGGCTCATTCCAGCACACTTCAACACAACGGTTTAATCAAAATGCCTTTGAGCTGCCATGCACTGGAAAATCCACCTTCCCAACAATACCCATCACTGGGGTATTCATATGCAAGACAGAAACTGTGCTCAGGTCTAACCAGTTTCCTCCTCATTGAGCTCCCTCATTCACTCAGAGCAACAATCTGTCCTCCACAACATTTCATTGCATCAGTGCCAGCTCAGAACGGTGCAAAAGGGAACAGAACAGGAAGGTGGATAAACTAGAGAGAGATGGGGAACATTTCCAGTTACACACTTCCTTGGGGAGGAGGGGAGCTATCTCACAGTGGTGGGAAAATACCCACAGAAAGTGCCCATGGCCATTTACAAGAGCTTCACTCCCAAAAGCAATTGTGCCTGGTCACCTTCAAGTAATCTCACCACCAGCACCCTGTCCCTCACACTTCAGACACGTGAAAGCACGTGCACAGCTATTCGCTCCTCCACCCTTACGGTCACATGGCTGCATGCGCACACACTCCCCCTTTTCAAAGGGAAAGGGATTCTTCATTTTCCATCATGCAGTTTCTGCAGACGACACCTCCAGCTGTAGTCCATCCCACTCTTTTCAGGGCTAAGTATGGGAGACTTCAGTTTAGCAGACAGACACAAATATTTCCCCATCTATGTTAGGCTTCCCCATAGGTGACCAAGTAACTCACAGGCAGTTTGATTGGCAGAGTAGCCAGCCAGTGGGAATCGGGCCCTTTCCTCTTCTTGGTGGCATCTTCAGGGACATTGTCTGGAACTTCGCCACGATAGAAGGAGACCTTCACAAGCAGGCGAGATCACAGAGTAAGACCTAGAGGCCATTTCAACGGCCATGTCTATCTATGCAGCTTGTTTTCTATTTGGCAAGGATTATGTAAGAAGTTTCCCACCCAGTCCCTACAGGAGACCACACATTCCCCACTTGGCGTGCCATCTGCAGTTTGATTGAGTGGGTGCCATTGGCAATAATGCAAGGATCCACCACAGAGTCCAGCCCCCTCTCCCTTACTGCTAATAGGCCAAGAGTTAACTCATAACTCTGGGCACCAGCCTGGGTGATAGGTGACCATTCATATTCAAGCCACACTCTCCTGTGGGCTTATTTTACGGGTCAGTCTCTGGTAAGGAAAAACAGAAACTCGATTCACTGACATACTCAAGGCTCGGGTGCTGCAGCAAGGGACGCCACAGGAAAGGCGAGGACTGCGAAAAAAGAAAATGAGGCTCTTGGGCTGGTGAGCACTATCCCCAGAAACTCACCTGCCCTTTCACAGCTTGGCCTTTCCTGTCCACTTCAGCAGTCACATAGATTTCCTTCATGTTCTTCAAGTGGGAGTAAAAGATGAAGGAGATCCGTCCATCCACACAGTCTGGGCGGTCTGAGCAGAGCCAGGGAAAACCAATCAATCGATCAATGTACAGAAAACCTTCCTACTCCTAGGCAAGGGCTACATTAGCAGCTTCCCAGACCAGAACCCACTTCTCCCTGTTTTCTGGCTCATCCCATTCTGGGACAGGGCTGCCACCCGTGACCATGGAGGAAGCAGATCATGCAGAAGCAAAAGGAAACCAGCCACCGGAGGAAGAGGAGTTGCAAAGAGTGCAAAGGGAGGGAAAGATGTTGAGGTTAAATATTGCATCTGTCCTACCCAGGAACGGATCACTAATGAGCAGGGGGTACCAGCTGGAAAGTGACTCCTGTTTACACAAAATAAGCCATCCGTCTCTTTTACATTTCCTTAAAGGGGGTGGGGGGGGGAGAGAGAGATGAGTAGGGATAAAGGAAAAAGTAATGCTGCATATGTTGCCTTAGAATCATAGAATATCAGAGTTGGAAGGGACCTCAGGAGATCATCTTGTCCAACCCCCTGCTCAAAGCAGGACCAATCCTCAATTTTTGCCCCAGATCCCTAAATGGCCCCCTCAAGGATTGAATTCACAACCCTGGGTTTAGCAGGCCAATGCTCAAACCACTGAGCTATCCCTCCCCCCCTTAGGACTGTACCATCCTGCCAAATACCTGTGACAAAGGGTAGGTGAGGGTTCCTGGTGCCCTGAGACTAGGCTACAGAGTCCTGTGTGAGTCAGCGGTAAAGGGTCCGATTCTGGGTTCATCTTCCCCAGGGCCAACTGAGAGGGACTATTGTCTTTGATGTCACAGTGGAATTACACCAGGGTATTAGAGATCAGAAGGAGGCTCAGAGTGCAGCTGTGACATCCCTTCCCACCTGGCTGCCCCAGGATACAGTCTTATGGTTTTGGTCCCACCCCCTGTAAGCTGAGTTCGTGAGAGAGGGAGGTAAAATGAGGATGGCCAACAAGACAGATAGGCATTAAACTCCACACAGGGAGTTCTCTGGGCTGGACCGTTCCAAGGGCTTTCTCCCCATAGAAATGGCTTTGTACGTAGACTACATCAGAAATGGATGAGACTTGTTAGATCAGCTAGCGTGTGCTCGGAGTACACAGGTCATGTACTCAGCTTACCTACGGAATAAATACACTGTACTAGACTGTACCCCTCTGGGGGTTGTTGTGGTTTGCTATGAAGAGAGCAGAGTCCAGCATGGTCCTGGAAGCAGCAATTCCATAGGGAGAATTCACTACCAAAAACATGTCCTGCCGGCCTCTCACTCTGTCTCCAGAGAGCAGAAGGACTGCTGCATTGCCCATCAGCTGATCAGCATAGGCAGCAGTGCTATGCTCCGTTTGCCAAATCTGCTAAGCCAGTGGTTCCCAACCTTTCTGTGGGAACTGCCTATTGCTACTCCCAGAAGACTGTGGCGGGCGCCGGACACCTTGCCAGATGAGTGTGCCACCGGAGAACCGACCGCCAGAATGCTGCCAAGAAGCGGCAATGCTTCTCTGTGGCATTTCAGCAGGCGGTTCTCCGTCGGTGGCATTTTGTCAGTGGGGTGTCCTGCGGATGCACAAAAACGCCCTGGTGGGCGCCGTGGCACCCACAGGCACTGCATTGGGGACCACTGCGCTAAGCGAATACAGAATGGAGCGGCAGCTGCTGGGAGGGAACTGAAGGCGAAAGGGACGGAGGAAAGAAAGAGCAGATTGGACAAGAGGGCTCTGCCATACCAGCATCGATGTTGATGCCTCGCTCGAAGGCTGCAAAGAACTGCTCTCCCTCAAACAACTCCACAATGTCAGAGGGCTCCGGGCCCTGGTAGCGGTCATGAAGCTTTCCCAGAACAGGATCGACCTACCAGGGATGAAAGCAACATGGGGGTCTGTTTAGGCTTTGCACATTCACAACCCCTCCCCCAACCCCCAAAAAGGGTCCAAGAAATTTTTCTCTTGCACTTTCAATTCAAAGAGTTTATTTTTCCAAGAGAAAAAAAAAAACAAAAAACAAAACCACACAATTCCCCTAAAGGTCTAATCTGTCATTAAAAAGTGACAGTAGCTAAGAATCATGTGGCTCCCACGGCATGCTTATAAAACACATGGTGTCCAGACACACAAATATGCTCCGCTGTTTGTGGTGGGGGAGAAACAACTATTTATGTTAGCCTTGCTGTCAGCAGGACTAAATACCAGCATGGACTGAACTGTTCCAGCCCGTGCTGGCCTAGTGCCAAAGTCTAGCTGGCCCTCCTTTTCTTACACTAGCAGGGTGCTGAAGCCTATCAGTTGTAAACTATCTGGTCTAATTCCATTTTCAGCTCTGGGGAAGGAAGCAGAGTGTCTAAGCTAAATACAAGTTGGGCCAAACTTCTATTTAGCTCAGACTCTCTCAACTTTCTTCCCCAGACCTGAAGAAGAACTCTGAGTAGCTCAAAGGCTTGTACCTTTCACCCACAGAAGTTGGTCCAATAAAGGATATTACCACGCCTACTTTGTCTCTCACATATCCTGGGACCAACGTGACCACAACAATGCTGCCATCAGAGGTTGAAAATTCCTTCGGCATCATTAGCCACTGCAGTGTCTGGGTGTTAGAGCAGATTAATTGTAACCTGTCAGTAACCCTTCAAAACCAAGAAGTTATTCCCTCTCTTTTCCCCCCAACATTTAGTCGTGGGGAGATATTTTCCACACAACTCCTGTGCTGCAATGCCACGTAGCTGAGGCCAGGACACAGCCTAAATGTGTTGTCTCTCTGCTGAAAGCCTCATCCTGGGGCAGCAGCATGCAAATACCCAAAGACTATGAGCTCTTACTTCTCAAAGGCAGTTTGAGTGAGGCTAATGCTGTGCAGCCTCTCTCACCCTGCACATGGATTTGGACTATCCTACCAGTGAACCCTCTGGGACGAATTTCCGGGGGTGAAATCCTGGCTTCAGTGAAGCTAAAATAGCAAGACTCCCGTTTTGGCTTCAGTGGCACCAGGATTTCACCCCTGACGCCCAAGGCTTGAAGTTTCCCTTCTGGTGTTTATGAATGTGTTTTATGTCAATACTGGAACACAAGAATTACACACAAGTGGGACCAGCCAGCCCAGGGGATTATAACGGGACAGCACAGCTTTCACCATTCAGTCGTCAGGCTGAACTAGACTGGTGATCGTTGCACCAAACAGCTTTGTGAAATACGCTATAGCTCTGTCCACTTCCCAGCGGGCCAGTGTCCCTGGCGCAAAAACCACCATTGCAACAGGAACCCTCAATCAATCAAACAGCCAAGGGCTAAACGGGCAGGGACATTTGGTGAATATGCCAGGCAAAATTGCTCCCATCGCCCCCTCTCCAACGGCTCTGGATTGAGGCCCCTTGGCAGGGCAGCGCATGCAGTACCTTGTGCTTGGGGACACACTGCAGCAAGACTTGCTCAGGGTCCTTCTTCCTCTGCAGCGCTATGAAATTCACCTGGTACAGGCGCAGCCTCTCGTACACCTTCCTGGCGATGCCACCGATGTAGGTCTTGGTAGTATACCACAGCCAGTACCTGGGGAAGGAAGCAAATGAGGGAGGGATCCATCTGCCAGCAGAGAAGCCAAGGGCAAGGACGGGAACCTGAAGGGGTGGACCTTAAAGTGATGCTTCCTTTCTATCGAAGGGGAAAGGCAAAAATTAGGAAAATCTGGATTTCAAAGGAGCTGAGTTGAAGGCACCATCCTGTCCGCTTGACACAGGTTATCCTCCAAAAAGCAGATTCTCAGCCCAAGACTGAGCGAGAGAACTTACCAGTGAGGGGGAAGGGTTGCATCAGCAGCCTATGGAAGAGGGAAGGATTCCGGCAGCTGGGAGGAGTGGTGGCCGGGAACCTCACTGTTGAACGGATTTAGGGTCTGAGTGGGAATGTACTCACTTGAGCATGGCCTCTTTAAAGCTACCTGGCCTACAAGGGCAACCACAAATCTGCTCACTGCAATCTGGTGGGATGTGAAGTGAGGAGAAATAGAAACCGCCCGGGACACAGAAGCAAGCTTTTTTTTTCAGTGCGGCTGTACTGTGCACCGAGGAATTGGGAATATTAACCGGAGGTATAAAGCTTCGGCATTCCATCCTTCTTAAGGGGAAAGAGCAACCCTGGCAAGGTGCTGGGGGCTGGAAGGGAAACTGGCAACAGCAACAGCATAGCCCCTGGTCTGGGGGAAAGCGCAGCCATCCACCTTCTACCTTTTCTTCAAACACTGTCCGTGAGCGGGTCAGAGCTCACCAGGAGAAGTGGGTGACTTCAAACCGCGCGTAGAGGTGCGTGAACTCCAGCACCACCTGACTGGTGATGTCATCCCAGGTTTGGGCTTGCAGGTTGCCGTGAAGAAGATGCAGCCTGGAGCGATCTAGGGTGAGACCTAAAGATCAAGAGACACAAGCCGGTTTAGTTTTAGATGAACATGGATTTTTTTTTTGCCTCGCTTGTTGCTTTACAAATCCAAGTGCAAAGCAGCTGGAGCCTTAGGGGAGTTGTGGTTTGTTTGTTTTTTAAAGCCACAATTGCTTACCTTTGGGAAATGCCAAATTCCAGCTCAGCCAGGCTACTTCTTTGAAAAAGACCAGCCCTGAATATCTGATTTGCTATTCCAGTGGGACTCCTAGCCTTAATGTGTCAGCCACTTAATTACCTCCTAAGCCGATGGGTTGCATGACCTAAGAGGTATTTTTCTACCTCTGACTCCTAAATGTTTGTACGGCACCTGGCACAAAGAGGCCCCAATCCTGACAGGGGCCCATGTGTCCCAGGGGCCTCTTGATGCCAACTGGCAGGGGGCACAGGAGGTGCCTACGATTTTAAAAGGGCTTCCCTGGGCCTGATGTCTACATAATAGAGTGCCAAAGGGTGGCATGTGAAGTCTCTACCAACAACCAGTAACACAAAGGTCATCCTAATTACTGTGAATGTATGTACAAAGGAGTTATGTATCCATACTGAAAAATACAGTCCTAAGGTATGTAAGTTACGACAGGTCACCAGAAGGTGATAAATGTGCTCCTATCAGGCAGAAGGGAAGAAATGTATCTGTCTAGTCATGTGTGTATTGTCCGTGTCTGAGTGGAGAACTAATTACAGACTGAGCCAAATGCTAATCAAGAGATTGTGAAGTTGACAAGAAAAAAAAAAAATCTCAAGGGGAAAAAACAAACAAACAAACAAAAAAACAATCAGCATCGGGAACATCCTGTTTATAAGTAAAGACTGAATCGGGGGGGGGGGGGTTGAGGGAGAGATCACTGGGGGTACAGAGGTACACCCTGGATCTTTCACTGAGGGGGCAAACTGAAGGGTGCAGCCAAGCCTGGCTAAAATACACTGGAAGGATTTGGGGTGAGTCTAGCTCTATAAGACATAAAAGTAACTCGTTAAATAAGTCTAGGTTCTAGAATGCGAGTTATAATTTTACTGTATAGGCAACTGTTTGTTTCTAATATGTGGAGACTTGCTATCATGTGACTCTCTTCTCTGTGTTAAATAAACTTGTACCTGTTTTCACTGTAATCATCTGTACGTGCTGTGAGGTAAGCAGAGCTGTGAGATGAGGTGTAATTAGCAAGCTGGGGGGTACTGTTCCTTTGGGAGCAGTGCATCTGTGAATTCTGAGTCTCTCCAGTGGAACAGGGGTTGGACGCTGCAGGGGGAAGCTCAGAGGACTCAGGGGCTGGTGTGTGCCTATTGCTAACCTGCAGCGGGGCAGCAAAGCCCACATGGGCTGACAAGGAAGTTCTTGTGTTGCCCATGGCTGACAGAGTTGGGGAGCTGACCCATGGCAAGTACAGACAAGGTTTCCTCACACTAAGGGCAGGGGGAAGCGAAGTGTCTCACAACCCTGAGTACCCCTGGAGGCGTCACAGCCCGTTGTGCGCTACGCTAACAGAAACAACAAGAAAGCCAAGGGAGATCAAAGGGAAACCGGAATTAATAAGCTTAGACAAGCGAAACTTCTCCATTTGCCAGGGTCCCCTCCTAGACACCACCCCCATCTCATCCAGACAAATGCCTCTGAGCAAAAAATCAATTTAACCAAAGACAAATTGTCAAGGCAATTGTCATTGTGTGCCATTTCAGTTGGCTGCATTAGGCCTCACTTCCTGTCCTAAGCTATATGAAGTGAAGTTCGAGCCTCAGTGAACAGCGACCATGTTATAACCCCATGCAGACAGCAACAGGCACTCTGGGAAAAGCTGCAAATTGGCTTCTAGCTAGGTTGTTAACGCTCTTGGGCAAGATTGTCTTTCCTATTACTCATTTGGACAGCGCCTAGCACAATCTCAATTGGGGTTCTCGTGTGACACTGTAATAATAATAATTCTAGAGTGGGGGAAATGGTGGGTGCATAGCTTTACAGCTCCCCCCTTCCCCTCCTAAAGTCCACAATCATCGGCAACAGAATCGCTTCCCCTCCCCAGCTTCTAATATTCAGAGATTATTCTACAACTCTCTTCTTTTAATTCAATACCCTTATGGATTGTCATAAATATAAAGGGAAGGGTAAACCCCTTTGAAATCCCTCCTGGCCAGGGGAAAGCTCCTCTCACCTGTAAAGGGTTAAGAAGCTAAAGGTAACCTCGCTGGCACCTGACCAAAATGACCAATGAGGAGACAAGATACTTTCAAAAGCTGGGAGGAGGGAGAGGGACAAAGGGTCTGTGTCTGTCTGTGTGCTGCTCTTGCCAGGGACAGAACAGGAATGGAGTCTTAGAACTTTTAGTAAGTAATCTAGCTAGATATGTGTTAGATTATGATTTCTTTAAATGGCTGAGAAAAGAATTGTGCTGAATAGAATAACTATTTCTGTCTGTGTACTTTTTTTGTAACTTAAGGTTTTGCCTAGAGGGGTTCTCTATGTTTTGAATCTAATTACCCTGTAAGATATCTACCATCCTGATTTTACAGGGGGGATTTCTTTATTTCTATTTACTGCTATTTTTTATTAAAAGTCTTCTTTTAAAAAACTGAATGCTTTTTCATTGTTCTCAGATCCAAGGGTTTGGGTCTGTGGTCACCTATGCAAATTGGTGAGGCTTTTTATCCAACATTTCCCAGGAGAGGGGGGGTGCAAGTGTTGGGAGGATTGTTCATTGTTCTTAAGATCCAAGGGTCTGGGTCTGTAGTCACCTAGGCAAATTGGTGAGGCTTTTTACCAAACCTTGTCCAGGAAGTGGGGTGCAAGGTTTTGGGGAAGTATTTTGGGGGGGAAAGACGCGTCCAAACAGCTCTTCCCCAGTAACCAGTATTAGTTTGGTGGTGGTAGCGGCCATTCCAAGGATAACGGGTGTAATATTTTGTACCTTGGGGAAGTTTTGACCTAAGCTGGTAAAGATAAGCTTAGGGGGTTTTTTCATGCAGGTCCCCACATCTGTACCCTAGAGTTCAGAGTGGGGGAGGAACCTTGACATGGTGGCACAGTGGTGGGATTAACCTGAAATCATCTGAGATCCAGTTGAGATTTTTTGAACTAGAAATACAGATTTTAAAAAGGAAATTTTTTTTTCTTTGGAAAGAAAGTCCAGAAAGCAGCTTTGAAACTGAAAGCAGCTTGGTTTCTCTCTGCTTTGTGGCCAAGCAGAGACAAAAGGGGATTATCTTGTGAATTGCAGGTTTTTTTGCCTGGAGGCAGGGTACTTAACTCCTGCAGGGAAATTCACAGTCTTCCAACCCATTGTTTTTTTTTTTCCTTTTCTTCCTAAAAGTAAATAGGGGGTGTGTGTTCTACCCATTTGCTTTTTCTTTGGGCTGGGTAAGCAGGTTTCCAAGCAGTTGGAGGTTTTTTGCTTTAATTTGGGCCCAGAGCAGAGACAAGGGAATTGTCTTTTTCTGTAGGCTGACAATCACTATCAGAGAATAGGTATTCTATTGCAGCACAGCAAAATTTTACAGCCAAGTTTTGTTTGTTTATTTCTAAACCTCGGGTGTAAAGTTAGTTAAAAACAGAGAGGTTAGAATGGCAAAATCCGCGGCTCGACTACAGCTCGAATTAGCCAAATTTCAGGCTGAGGAAAAACAAAGGGAACATGAAAGACAGATAGAACTCATGCGGCTGAAGAAGGAACAAGAAAGGGAGGCAGCGAGAGAAGCAGAACAACACCAAGAGGCTGCCCACAAGAGGGAAATGGAAGCAAGGGACAAAGAACTGGAGGAGAAGGAAAAAGAGAGGAAGCATGTGGAGGAGATGGAGAGGATAAAGGCCCAGCAGAATATACCAACAAACCCTAGCAATCCTTCTCCAGGTACCACTTCCCATCCCAGAAAGTTCCCCACCTACAAGGCAGGTGATGATACTGAGGCCTTCTTAGAAAACTTCGAAAGGGCCTGCCTTGGGTACAACATCTCTGCTGACCAATACATGGTAGAGCTGAGGCCGCAGCTCAGTGGACCCTTAGCTGAGGTGGCAGCTGAAATGCCTAAAGAACACATGAACAAGTATGAACTGTTTAAATCCAAGGCGAGAGTCAGAATGGGGATAACACCCGAGCAGTCTCGTCGGAGGTTCAGAGCCCTAAGGTGGAAACCAGACATGTCATTTACCCGACATGCCTACCACATTGTGAAACATTGGGATGCCTGGATATCAGGAGCAAGTGTTGAATCTCCAGTAAATTTGCCCTTCCTAATGCAAATGGAACAATTCTTAGAGGGTGTTCCTGAGGAAATAGAAAGATACATCCTAGATGGGAAACCCAAAACTGTAATTGAGGCAGGAGAGATTGGAGCCAGATGGGTGGAGGTGGCAGAGAAGAAGAAAACTGGTCGCAGTTGGAGCGGAGACCAGAAGGGACCACCCCAGACCACACCCTATTACCGGGGGCCGCCCAAAGCCCCACCTACCTCCCAAAGAGCCCTCCAGACCCCTTATCGTCCCACCACCCCGTTCTCCAGCAGCCCTCCTCGCCCCAGTGACCCGTCAGCTGGACGATGTTTTAAATGTAACGAGCTGGGGCATGTAAAGGCCAACTGCCCCAAGAACCCCAACAGATTACAGTTCATTGCACCGGAATCACACCAGAGGTCCACAGGCCCAGATACCTCCCAGATACCCTTGGAGCGGAGGGAAACTGTGAGTGTGGGCGGGAAGAAGGTCACCGCGTGGAGGGACACCGGAGCACAAGTGTCAGCTATCCATGCTTCCTTAGTGGACCCCAATTTAATCAACCCAGAGATCCAAGTGACGATTCAACCCTTCAAGTCCAACTCTTTCAATTTGCCTACAGCCAAGTTGCCTGTCCAGTACAAGGGCTGGTCAGGAATGTGGACTTTTGCAGTCTATGATGATTATCCCATCCCCATGCTGTTGGGGGAAGACTTGGCCAATCATGTGAAGCAGGCCAAGAGGGTGGGAATGGTCACCCGCAGCCAGGC